ACATTGGGACTATAGGTTGAGGACTACTTGTGGGATCTGATTTCATCTGCCTCTGGAGATGTACTTGACATTGTGAGATCGATATCTGAGACATTGTGGGACACTGTATTCGCGACATTTCGGACTTTCGCCATCTCTGACATTTCAAGATACTATCTTTGGAAACATTGAGTTGACGTCATCTTCCCTCTCCTCCTCCCTTTGTCTCTCTCCTCCCTCCATTCGTCCGTGGATGATCTCAGACCCTGGCCTTTCAGCTAGGTCCAAGGCCAGGGCTTTCACACCCCTGATGAATGATTGAGAGTGTTCAATTGCAGTCCGAGTCAGGTCAGAGTCAGTCCATGTATCTCAAGTCTTCCGCTGTATTTGTATCAACTCTGTATTATCTGGTCGGTTCTGGGAATCTGCGCCATACTTATGACTGTGTTTCACGAGTATGCAACAGTTTGGTATCGGAGCAGACCAGCATTGGATGACTCACCATTGATTGATTGATTGATTGATTGATTGATTGATTGATTGATTATCTACACCTGCACTCTGTTATCATTAAATCGCAAGTTGCAAATTTTTTTTCTTTCTCGTACTTCATGGTAATCAGGTCGTTAGGAATTTTAGGTTTTGCGATTTTGCTCCACACTGCGCAAATTAGGAATCGCTAATCAGGATTAACCTAATTAACGCTAATTAGGGTTAGTCCTAACCTAATCTGACGACCTATCAAACCTATGGGAAGTAAGTGCCAGCCAGGCACCGCGCCAAATTAAAGGCAGATCGGGCCTGAGCACGGCCACATTCCAACTGCAACTTCATGGAACTTTCACTTTTTGCAAAATGCATCTTTTATTGCGCTGAAAGGTTGAATCTTTCCAGCAAATTGTGTATCTTCCTATTACCATTCATCTTCTACTTAGTGACCTCGTGATGATGCTAAATTCCCCCGATTAAATTTCGTGAAATTATTAAAGTTAGGTTTAAATGTTTAAACTTGCTTAAACTTTATTCATTTTTACTTGTGCAAATTTAAATATCCTTTAATTAAATATTTAACTTTTGCGAAATTAATTATCAAAATTTAAATAATTTTCAATTAAATATTTAATCTTTTGCCAAAATTAAATTTTATTAATTCGTATTTTTCCAATTAAAAATTTATCTAATTTCTCAAAATTCAAAATTTTCGAGGGGGGGGGAAATTTTTCTTTTCGATTAGTGTCAAATTTCAAGGTCAGGGGAGAAAGGGACTGTCTGTGCATTGTTTGCCTCTCTGCCCTTCCTCCACCCCTACCTTCTCTCTCTCCTCCTCTCGGTACTACGGTCGTCAGTCTCCGGCCACGTCAGCATTGTGCCACATCAGCAGCGGGCCACGAACGCAGACTGCCACATCAGCCGCGTGCCACCTCAGCGTGCCACAACAGCTGAGTGCCAGTCAGCAGCGGCCACCTCAGCAGTGCCACATCAGCAGGTGCCCCCTCAGCGGTGACACGTCAGCAGCAGACGAAGACCAGAGTACTTAATGCGCCACAGTCAACGACTTGCGGAGCGCGGATCCGCAGGAACCAAGCCCCAACAGGGACCTAAGACACCTCGGATCCCGTGCAGGCGACGCACGACCATGGCTGCTACCGCTGACGCAAATGATCAAGCCAGCCCCAAGAGGCCGGTTACCCCTCCTGTCCCAGTTCAGCAGGCTGATGAACCGCTTCTAGCGTTTCTCAAACGTCTCCAGCTCTACTCGGAGACCACGGCAGCTGAACTGAGCAAGTGGGAAGAGGAGGAAGCTGCCCGCCAGCAGGAAGTTCAACGCCAGCTGGCAGAGGCAGAGGCAGCACGTCAGCAGGCCGCAGCAGAAGCTGCAGCAGCCGAACGGTTGCAACAACAGCAGGCCGAGGCAAGTAAGAACCAACTTCGTTATCAAGCTACAATGGAGCTCGCCAATGAAGAAGCCACATATCCGAGGATACTCCGACAGCAGCACTTTCGAGCAAGCGAAGAACAAGAGGAGCCGACCGAGGAAGAGAGAAACAAGGTGGACACAACAGTTTTGATGGAGAATTTGCTGTACACGTGCAATTGGCAGCAATGTGAACTGCTGGCCATGCGGCAGGTATTCATTCGCCACGAAACAACGTTTAAAACATTGGACAAGAAGATCGCTACCCTGCAGGCCGAAATCAGCACACTACACGCCGCCAACAGCCAGCAGCAGACACTCAACAACCAGCTGCAGACCGATGTCAGCATGCGGTTGGCACAACTGTCGGCAGCTGCGTCAACGGGCAGCGCAGTGGCAGACTGCAGCCCAGCTTTGGCTGCGCATGCCAAATAACTCGAGGAGCGGATCAACCACGTGGTCGCCTTCCTTGGCGACATCAGCAAGTTTGCTGGAGCGTCGACAGTCAGCAATCAGCTGCAGACGCTCAGCAACCGCGTTCAGCAACGACCGGCTGCTGTCGCCAAGGAATGGAAGATGTCGAACTTCAAGATCGAGAAGTTCGATGACTATCACAAGATTGATCCGCTGCAATGGTGGATGGCATTCAACGCAGAGGCGGACATGCATCACACTCCAGCACTGCGGCAGCTTGACGCACTCTACCTCCAACTCATTGGAGGGGCGCAGGCCTTCATGACGCACATGGCGGTCACATTGGAATGCACCATCGCCACCCTCCACACCAAGATCATGTGGGAGGAATTCGAGAAGAAATGGAAGACCCGGTTCATGGTCAACAATGACAAGCGTCACGCCTTGAACAAGATCTTTCGCATGTTTCAAGGCCAGCAACCTTCACGGGAGTGGCTGACGGAGTGGGAAAGACTCGTCGCCACCCCGGAGTTGAACTTCCCGTTCGACGCAATCCGGGCCGAATTCTTCGCTCGGTCATGCGACGCCTTGACAGCTGCTCTCGGCAGCGAATTCCAGTATGAGACCTTTGATGACATGATCTCAAAGGCAAGAGAACTAATCCAAGTTAACCGGCGCGCGGCCAGCGAGGCCCGCCAACAGCCCAGTTATGTGGAGAAAGGCAAAGGTCAACGGATGCCACAAGTAGCAGCAGTCCAACAAGGACCAAGTGAGGACCACGTAGCCGCGTGGCGACAACGATACCACTGCAACGCTCAAGACCCCGAGGGGGAAAACACAAAGCGAAACCAGCGTCGGCAGATGGAGCACGACAGTCACCATGGACGAAGTTCGGTATTACCGAAGACATGTTCAAGTTGAGACAGAAATGGGGATGTTGTTTGTGGTGCAACAACACCAAACACGTCACAAGCGCCTGCCTCGACAAGGACAAGGAAAATGTCAAACGTTCGGGCTCGGGAAACTGAGCACCGCGGGAAGTGCAGCGACAACACTTCCCAGTCCGCCGGACTCAGCTGCCTCGCTAGCAGTCTCTCTCACGTCCGAGGACACCGCGGTAGTCGCAAGTTCTCGCATTGAGTTTGAGAACTATGCTGTCGAGCTGGTCCCACCGTTGAACCAGCCTCTCCACGTGCAAGATTCAAGCGCATGCGCGGTAGTTCCGCTGTCGGACAACGAACCGGTTGCTTCGCCAGCCCTTCTATCGGAGGATCCGTCACTTTGGGCGAGTCTTGAGGAACTCGACCCGTTGACGGTTGAGGACTTCCAATGGTTGCCTCTTCCCTCCACCGGTTCTTTGCCAACTCCGCATTGCACCGCCTTAATGGCACATTTACGCGAATACTTGCACGCTGCAGTACCACCTCCGTCGACGGATGGCGGAGTAGCGGTTGTTGACCTTCGTAGCTATCTTGCGAAGATCGACCGCGAGTACTCAACGCAACGGTACGTCGACATCGACGCGCCGCTCCTCTACATCCGCATTCAAATCGGAAGGCTACCTGCAGTGCCTTGATCGATTGTGGAGCGACTCGCAACTACATCAGCCAAGACTTCATAGCACGCGTCGGGCTTGGCCCGCGCGTTCGTAGGAAAAGTCAGCCTACGCACATCACATTGGCCGATGGTCACACGCAAAAGTCAATCGACCGATGCGTTGACTCGGTGCCTGTGTACTTTGCCCTGCTAGCATGCGAGGCCGTGTTATTCGACATATTGGACACTAAGTTCGATATGATCCTAGGCATGTCGTGGCTGCAAAGCGAAGATCATACGGTGAACTTCTATCGACGCACCGTTCACGTTCGTGACCGGCGCAGCGAATTAGTCCCATGCACGGTGCCGCTTCCTCATCCTTCGATTGGTTGTCACGTGGTCTCCGCGGCGAGCATTCGCCAATCCATTCGGCAGAACGACATCGAGGAGATGGGCATATGTTTTCTTCACGCCCTCCCACCCGGTGATCAGCCCAAGACGGATACGTCGGACCCACGCATCATTGAGTTGTTGGACAGCTATGAGGATGTCTTCCAAGCTCCCGCCGGAGTAGTACCGGATCGGCCCATATGCCACGGGATCACTCTCGAGGACGGCGCCGTACCTCCACGCGGATGTATCTACCGCATGAGCGAAGAGGAGCTTCAAGTGCTTCGGGCACAACTAGACGACCTCTTGGCCAAGGGCTGGATTCGCCCTAGCTTTTCGCCATACGGTGCTCCCGTTCTCTCTTCGTCCACTACCGACGCCCGCTCCTTTCTTGGCTCAGCATCTTACTACATGCGCTTCGTCAAAGGGTTTCAACGAACCGCTGCACCATTGTCGCGACTTCAGTCCCCCTTGGTGCCCTTCGAATTCAACGACGAAGCCCGGCATGCGTTTCATACGCTGAAGACGGCTTTGCTCCAAGCTCCCGTCTTAAGCATCTATGCCCGGACCTTTCCTACCAAAGTGACTACGGACGCTTCCGGTTACGGCATTGGCGCGGTTTTGGAACAGCATGACGGTACAGACTGCCATCTGGTTCAGTACTTCAGCCAAAAGGTGCCGCCCATCAACACTCTTGATAATGCGAGGAAGAAGGAACTCCTAGCTTTTGTCACCGTACTTAAGCGTTGGCGTCACTTTCTCTGCCAGCGATTCACGTGGGCAACGGACAACAATCGGTTGACTTATTACAAGACGCAAGACATGGTGAGCAACACGATCGGTCGGTGGATGTACTTCATTGACCAGTTCAACTTCACCTCCAAGCACATTTCGGGCTCCTCAAACAAGGCAGAGGATGCTCTCTCGCAAAGACCAGATCTTTGCGCCTTGGTGCACTCCACATTCGGCCTCAACGAGGACCTGCAACAGCATTTCGTAAACGGCTACAAGTCGGATCCGGGATTCTCCACACTCTATGCGGACTTATCATCGGATCACCCGCCGACAAGCAATTATCACATTGTCGACGGCTACTTGCTCCTCCATACACGAGGCAAGGACTTGTTGTGTGTGTTCCCGAAGACCGCATCTTGTGCACTCACCTCCTTGGCGAATACCATGATTCGCAGCTGGCAAGACACCTTGGCGTCGCACGCACACTTGCACGACTCCGCCAGCAATTTCACTGGTCGGACATCATCAGCGACGTCAACCGGTAAATTCAGTCATGTGCAGTTTGCCACCGGAACAAAGGGCGCCATCAGCTCCCGTACGACGAACTAAAACCATTGTCGATTCCTCGGGAACCAGGTCTCTCCATTGCTATGGATTTAACCGGTCCTTTCCCTCGCGATCGCCTTGGCCATGATGGTATTCTCACGGTAGTTGACCGTTTGAGCAAGTACGCTCGATTTCTTCCTTGCAAGTATCATGCGACGGCTCCCGAGCTCGCACGACTTTTGCATACTGGTTGGTTTTGCAGCCACGGCGTTCCGGAAGACATCGTCAACGACCACGACACTCGTTTCATGTCAGCCTTTTGGACGACACTCAAGGTGGAATCCAGCACCAGCATGAAACCGAGTTCCGCACAGCACCCTCAAACAGATGGGCAAACGGAACGCGCGCACCAGACTGCGCAGATGATGCTCCGCACACTCATCCGCCCGGATCAGAAGGACTGGGTTGACCGCCTTCCCGACATCGAGTTCGCCTACAACACTTCGGTGCACCCGGCAATCGACGTGACTCCATTCAAGTTGCACCACGGTGGACGGAAAGGACATATCTTCACAGACATGTTGCTTCCACGGGCTGCCGATATCGACGCCGCTTGCTCCCCCGCTTCTACACTGAAGTACAGGGAACTGCTGGCCAAAGCCCGCGCAAACATGCAAAAGGCTCAGGTCCGTATGCAGCAGCAAGCGAACCGGCGTTGCATCCCATGTCCAATCCGCGTTGGCGACTTGGTTTGGGTCACCTCCGAGGAATTCGCGCTCGAGCAGCATGTCTCGCGCAAGCTCCTCCCTAAGTGGTTTGGTCCATGGAAGGTCACTTCAGCAGCTGGCGACGATCCCGCGGGTCCATCTTTCATCACTGAGATTCCCCCGCATTTGACTGTCCACCCGATATTTCACACTTCAAAGCTGGCAGTCTACACTCCAGCCTCCGCAGCGGACTTCCCCGGCAGACGGTCACAGGACCCTCCTTCAATGGATGGTCATCAGGAGGTCGACCGCGTCATCGCCCATCGCAAGCACGACAACAAGCCAATGCAGTACAAAGTTACATTCAAGCAATGCGATCCCGACGACACACGCTGGATTTCACAAGCTGACCTGAAGGCGACAACACCCCTCATCTTCGCGCATTACGAAAAGCAGCAACTTGCTAAGGAAGCTGTCCAACCTGCCCGCCCCGTACGAACATCAGACAGACAGCTTCGCCCTCGCGGTTAGCTCGGTCTTCAAGGGGGGGAGTGTGTGGCATTCTGAGCCACACGGGTCCCAGTTAGGGGTACGGCAGTTCAGGCAGGCCAGGGGTAGGGTAGGCCTAAGGGGAAGACGGTTCAGATGAGGCCAGGGGTACGACGGTTCAGGCAGGCCAGGGGTAGAGGCCCACGCCAACAGCCACAAGGCCGGTACCGGTCCAGCATAGGACCTACTGGCGGCACAGTTTCAGACGCTGCCGTGTTTAGGCGCCAAATCCAGTTTGAATCTGGACCGTCGATTCAGATCAACGGTCCAGGCCGGTAGGTACCAGCAGGTAGGAGGCCGGCCCAAAACTACAAAAGGCTGGGTACCAGCCTCAGTAGGGAGTTAGTATGGACTGAAGGTTAGTCTTCAGGATTAGCGCAGCATTCAGCGTTAGTACGATTAGAGCAGCGCTGCAGCATAGCGAGGAGCAGCGAGGAGAGCCGGAGCTCAGCGGCGAGAGGATTAGCACAGCATCGGGCGCAGCGCCAGTTACCGGCCCAGCCCCCCCCTTGCAGCGCCATAGCTACCATGCCAGGTACCAGGGAGGAAGGCTTCGCCTTCTCTCCCTCCTCTTCCTCCACCGCTCTCTCTCTCTCTCTCTCTCTCTCTCTCTCTCTCTCTCTCTCTCTCTCTCTCTCTCTCTCTCTCTCTCTCTCTCTCTCTCT